TGTGGAAATCTAGACTTGCCCTTAATCTAGACTTACATGGGTTTTCTTGGATATGTTTGTACTAGGGTCTGTATGTCAGACTGCCTGCCATTCTACAAGATGTCATCTGCAGTTCCCCTGTGTTCACTCTGACCTAGATAGACAAACTATGGAATAGGGTGTGTTTGAGAAAGTAACTTAAACAGCACCTGCAAAGGCTTTTCCGTTTCATGTTTTGATGAACATTCCAAGACATATAAGTCTCATGTATCTGTTTCAAAACCTTTTAGAAGTCAGCAATGAGTTTACTGTAAACTACATACGGGTTTCTTTTTAAGGAAAGCAACCCAAAACAGCTTGAGTTTTGGCAAGTACAAACTAAGCATGGCCCTCACCCCATAGGTGCTCTCAGTTGGATTGGTGGAATGTACACAGTTGGGTAGAATTTCATGTTGGGCTGCTAGTTTGAAATATCTGTAGCCTTTTTGGCTGAAAATAAACGGCTTTTTAAATCTTTAAAGATGTATGTTGGTGTTGTGAAAAATGTTTTGGACGAAAAAAATCTATAAAAAAATGCTATCTGTCATTTGAAACCTTAATGAAATTTCTTACACTCTTTTTCAATTGAGAGTGTTGAAAGGAACCTTTTCTTGTGCTGAATGTTTTTTGCCATTGCAGATGAAGAACCTTTTTACTGAACATGTGAGCGGCTAACAAAAAGTAATGAAGGAAGTACAGGGAAGATGTACAACATGTGTACGTAACCTGTTCATCTGTTTCCAGAACCTGCTCTTGGTCAAACCCTTTGTAGTTTCAAGTTTACAGAAAGTTTCTGGTCAGTAACAATACAACAAAGAGACATTTCAGATCCATTATATTCTTTTGCATCTTTAAGATATATTTGATGCTTGATGCATCATGAGATGTATATTATTTAAGTTTACCTTAATATGTGTACATCCACTTTATGCTGTGGTGTGTGGGTAATGCATTCACTAGAATATAAGCATAATGCTTTTCCAATTTTAATGTTTTTGTTTTCAATTTACCTTTTGAAAAGAGTGTGCAGAGTCTATAACAAACTTCTAAAATCTCTCCCATCCTACTTTCCGTGTACTCTTCAATCTCGATATATCTAATTGTTCAAATATTATATATAAACTTTTTATAGACAATATTTCAATAACGAATGACTGAACATTTGTGTTCTTATATGGTTCTAAATACCATCACTGCCAAGAAGTCAGTTGTTTTATTGTTGAGCATCATATTTCTTTTCTGAAATGCTCTTTATAAACCTCATACGACTTAACATTTTCACCATACTTTGCTCACCATCTGATTTACTGATTTTTCAAACCCATAAATCTGAGTTCAAAATAGAAAGGATCAAATATAAAACCATGATGTTCTAAGTTCTCTGTGATGTGTGTGCAAGACGTAATGGTAACTGCCCTTTCCATGTTGTATCCATGAGTGAGTGAGTTGTGTTTAAATCTGGTTTATATTTCAGATGACACTTATCCTGTCAAGGGTGAGACAAGTTATAGTGATGCAGGGGTATGGCTCACCACAAACATAGGTATGGTGCAGACAAACCTACATATGAGAAACTGAGGCTTGAACCTCAATCATAGGTTTCTAGCATAGAAAGGTTTTTGAAAACTTCTACAAGTTAGTTCTTCATTACTAAGAAACATTGGCACTGTGAACAATTTGCCACTTGTGTGTACTTTGGAGCACTTTGTAGACAAAAACACAGCACCAGCAGCAGTCTCTGGCAATCAATAAGATCTGCCCCCCTGTGTTGTAGTAGACAATATACTAACACTGAGATAATTGGATCCAGTCGGTAGTATGCTGGAGACCAACTGCATCAGTTTCCATCACATCAATCTTTATGGATTGCGGAAATAGCTGGGTTGCATAATACTTCGTGAACTATATGCTGCGGCAGTTGTAGAGACAGTATTGACAGAAGTAGTGGAAGGATGAACCATGGGTCATGGTTGTTGATCATAGCACAATGGCTATTGAACTTGGTCGTACTCTCAGCTTGACTTTCGACATATGTAGCAAGACGATGGGTCACTGAACAACTGTCATCCTTACCTGGTCATCTGTTACAAATGTGGATGAGGCATACCGTCCTTGTTCAGATCCCAGCATTGGAATCACACATAATAGATTGCTACAATTTATTACAGGAGATCACCCCCAGCTAATCTTATACACTACATGATTGCTACAATATTTGGCTGATAACTTGTATAAATCTTCTAGCTGACATTTTGTGCATTCTGGTCAACATATAGCAACAGAGAGAAAAGCTGTAGACAGTTGAGATATCTTCTGATTCTTGACAGGAATACAAACCACATATCATGGTCTCTGAAGACTTGCAAAATAATCTATATATTTATATTATACAATATTTATTACAGGAGATTACACTCAGCTGATATTCTTGACACCTGTGGGGATTCCACATCCCAACATCTTCATGTTGGTAAAGTTTATCAAACATGTCAGTCATTATTCATGTCTCGAACATGTCTGTCTAGGAACCTGTCTGTCTGGGAACATATTGGCAACCTATTTCACATGATTGATGATAAATTTGTAAACCTACATGAATTTACAGCTAAATGTTCATGTTGATGACTCAAAGGATGAGTATTAGTCTGTTATTCTAATTAAAATGTATGAGGTTAAAACCGGTGTGAATAGATTATGTTTGAAATGTCTATTCTGCCTTTTTCAGCCTAACTGGCACTCTGCTGGCCCCGTTACACCATTGGATTCCATGTCTGAATCTAGGTCCCCAACAGCTGTGGCTTGTCCTACAAGTTAGCTTCAAGTTGACTGGGTGGTGTTCAGTGGATTCTATGTCTGAATGTAGGTCCCCAACAGATGTGGCTTGTCATACAAGTTAGCTGCAAGTTGACTGGTGGTGTTCAGTGGATTCTATGTCTGAATGTAGGTCCCCAACAGCTGTGGCTTGTCATACAAGTTAGCTGCAAGTTGACTGGTGGTGTTCAGTGGATTCTATGTCTGAATGTAGGTCCCCAACAGCTGTGGCTTGTCATACAAGTTAGCTGCAAGTTGACTGGTGGTGTTCAGTGGATTCTATGTCTGAATGTAGGTCCCCAACAGATGTGGCTTGTCATACAAGTTAGCTGCAAGTTGACTGGTGGTGTTCAGTGGATTCCATGTCTGAATGTAGGTCCCCAACAGCTGTGGTTTGTCATACAAGTTAGCTGCAAGTTGACTGGTGGTGTTCAGTGGATTCCATGTCTGAATGTAGGTCCCAACAGCTGTGGCTTGTCATACAAGTTAGCTGCAAGTTGACTGGGTGGTGTTCAGTGGATTCTATGTCTGAATGTAGGTCCCAACAGCTGTGGCTTGTCATACAAGTTAGCTGCAAGTTGACTGGGTGGTGTTCAGTGGATTCCATGTCTGAATGTAGGTCCCCAACAGCTGTGGCTTGTCATACAAGTTAGCTGCAAGTTGACTGGGTGGTGTTCAGTGGATTCCATGTCTGAATGTAGGTCCCAAACAGCTGTGGCTTGTCATACAAGTTAGCTGCAAGTTGACTGGGTGGTGTTCAGTGGATTTCATGTCTGAATGTAGGTCCCAACAGCTGTGGCTTGTCATACAAGTTAGCTGCAAGTTGACTGGGTGGTGTTCAGTGGATTCTATGTCTGAATGTAGGTCCCCAACAGCTGTGGCTTGTCATACAAGTTAGCTACAAGTTGACTGGTGGTGTTCAGTGGATTCTATGTCTGAATGTAGGTCCCAACAGCTGTGGCTTGTCATACAAGTTAGCTGCAAGTTGACTGGTGGTGTTCAGTGGATTCTATGTCTGAATGTATGTAGGTCCCAACAGGTCCCCAACAGCTGTGGCTTGTCATACAAGTTAGCTTGTCATACAAGTTTGACTGGGTGGTGTTCAGTGGATTCTATGTCTGAATGTAGGTCCCCAACAGCTGTGGCTTGTCATACAAGTTAGCTACAAGTTGACTGGGTGGTGTTCAGTGGATTCTATGTCTGAATGTAGGTCCCAACTGATGTGGCTTGTCATACAAGCTAGCTGCAAGTTGACTGGTGGTGTTCAGTGGATTCTATGTCTGAATGTAGGTCCCAACAGCTGTGGCTTGTCATACAAGTTAGCTGCAAGTTGACTGGTGGTGTTCAGTGGATTCTATGTCTGAATGTAGGTCCCCAACAGCTGTGGCTTGTCATACAAGTTAGCTACAAGATGACTGGGTGGCTGAATGGTTCAGAAGCTGCTGTGGATTGTTATTCTGTTGAAATGTATCAACTGCTGCTAAATGTGGAGTGTTTGCTGACAAGTTGTTAATATGTAAAGTTATTGGTAACTTTCCAATGCACTCACACAGCTGTCAGATGACATTTATGTTAATTGGGTTTGAACATTATTTCAGGTACATCACAACATGTCAGCGTGATGTGGGTGGAAAGCTGGACGTCACGTGTGCTACGAGACATTTAACGCTTTGACAAAGTTGTTAAACACAGTTATGGTGCTGATAAATCTACATAATCAGTGTCAATCTAGGACTCAAACTCAAATAATTATAAGGTTATGGATGCAACTCTGGACTGCTTCGTTTAGAGGAAGGATGCATAGATCTTGAACCAGTCAGATGTCTGAACAGTGAATTTGCTTTTTCACAGCCTTGATTTGGTAATAAGAAATAAACTTTACAATATAACAACATAAAAACCCTTATTATCATACATTTAGAAGTGACTGTTAATGTTTGTTTCCAAGATACAAAAATCAGATCTGCTGCTTTAAACACACACTTATCTTGCAACTGTAGAATCCTGGACACTATATAACTGATAAAGAATGTCTCTCTGATGCAACCTGGTGAGTTTGCAATGCATTTCATGCAGAGAGTGGTTCTTATAAAGCAAACAATACAGCCTTAATTACATTGGCAGATCCTATCAGAAGTAAGGGACACAAATCTGCACATTGTTCTACTTACATGTAGGTCCCATATCCATGGCCATCAGATGGACAAGCACCAACTGTCCTTCCTTGACCTTGATCTGCCACGTCTTCTCAATGTGTCCAGGGTAGGGTCCCGGGAACTGAGGGGAGGCTATAATACCCCCAAAGCCATTCAGACTCACTGTGTTAGGACCAAAGGGGTACCAATCTGAAGTGAAAGTTGGCACCTTCAATTTCATGTATTTTTTTGTTTGTCACTTTTTAGCAGCAAATTTTAAGTACATTTTTATCATTATCAAATCATGTGTGTCACAATGAAATGTCAGTCATTCATATAACAATAATAATTAAAGCTATGGTTATGATCATTTATTGGCAAATTGGCGCACAACCTATATCTTCTCTGAAGGATATCAGAATGGTCTTCTGACATGCAAATTAATCACTATCATTAATGCATCACAGTTTGTTATACACCGAGCTCCTCCATCTTCCAGTAATACATACCAGCTAGTTAATCCAGACCGTAATACATACGGTTTGCAGTGTAATAGCAATGTCCTATTTTAGGCAGGTAATGAAATGAACACAGTTAAACTCATGAAATTCCAATGAGCCTTGCTCTGTGCATGACCTGCGTGAATACACTACCATAGCCTGATGCTGAAGTAATGTGTTCAGTAGATAGCTGCCAGGCAGTGCCAAATGTTGCATAACTTTCACCAATGTGATCTGCACACTCACTGATCTCCTCACCAACTGGTCTCCCACTTGCATGAGCCAGGTCTTGATGTGTTCATTGTAAAGCAGCAACTAGTGTATCTACTGATGTAGGTATTCAGTGTTCTCACACCCTGGGAAGAGTTCTGCAGATCACATGTACTTATGTATTGGATTGACCAAGGACTTGAATTTAGGTCCTTGCTTTGAACCTTCTTCAGGATGTCATCAAAAGAGGATGTTTCTCAAGTTATCAGTTTGTTTGTATATACACAAAGCCCAACTTTCTGAAATGTTTATTACATTTGAAGCATCTCCCTCCCAAATCTGTTTACTAAACTGCCAATGCAGATCAATACATGAACACATTTTTAATCAAACAGGTAGCTGTGGTCATTTCAGTTTATGTATGTCTTCCCATATCCTTGTAAGAAATCATGAAGCTATGGCAACCACACTGAACTTTGTAGTTTAAAATATAATTTGATCATGATCAAAACTCTTGGCCAGAAATACAACACAGTTATTTCCTACAGAGCTCTTCTGGAGAAGTAGGTATTGCAAAATAAGTGTTAATATATATATTGATAATGTGGATGCTGGAATATCACAAGTACGAAGTAATCAACAAAAACGTCAAACTGTATTAAAAAAAGAATTCTTCCTTTTGGTTTTTGCCAGTTAAAACACATGATTTTAATCATACAAATTCACAAGCAAAGAAGTGGGCGAGTTTTCAAACTTCAAACAACTACTACAAGGTTGGGAGTCAGATGTCCTGCAATACTGATTGCTAATGTGTCTTTTAAAAGTCATGAAAGTCCTCTGGCAGCAAAAATAGATCACAAGTTACATACCATTGCCTTTGTAATATGATCACCACTGTTGTTTAATAACCTGTTCTTCATTTCTACTTCTACACGCAATCAATCATATACCAGTGGTCAATAAGAAATCTGAACAAAACATGCAGTAAGACGACTCATCAAAACTCTTGTGAAAAGACCACGATAGTGAGTGAGTTGGGTTTTATCATGCTTTTAGCAATAGTGATTGTGAGTGAGTGAGTTTTAGTTTAAGCCGCTCTTAGTAATATTCCAGCAATATCACGGAAACCAGAAATGAGCTTCACAGATGATAACCATGTGTGGACTTAAACCCGGTGTAGCAGGCCATTTCTTCCCCAGTCTAAACTTTCCTCGGGGAGAATCTGGCCTAGGCCAAACCTTCCCTGGGGAGGTTTTGTCCTAGGACATTCTTACCCTGGGCAAAGTTTGGGCTAGGCTAAAGTTTCCCCTAGGCCAAACTTTCCCGGGGAGGTTTTGTCCTTGGATATTCTTACCCCGAGGAAAGTTTGGGCTAGACTAAAGTTCCCCTTCCCCAAGTCCAAAGTTTTCCCCCTGTTTAAACTAGGATGTTTTCTTCTGTTTCCTATGAAAAGGGGGGAGATTCTGGCCTAGCTAGGCCACTTCTTCCCCACCTTTGTTCTTATATCAAAAGGGGGAGATTCTGGCCTAGCTAGGCCACTTCTTCCCCACCCTTGTTCTTATATCAAAGGGGAGAACAAGTTATTACAAACATCAAACTGACAGTAGTTTTGACTTATATTTTGGTACACATATCTGCCAAATAGTCCATTCTTGCCTCTGACTTAGGTGTAGTGATGTGAATCCACAGTTTGAATGGCATAAATCTTTAAATCCATCCTGCTCCTGTCGCCATCCCTATGAAGACACGTCATCTGTCCAAATCATGTCACCATAAGAAGTAGACATTCAGTCACACTTTTGATGGGTAAATAAGATGTAATATACACAGGTTGCTTGCTCTCTTAGCATGTTGTTTATTGTCAAATTATTGTTGTATTTATGTATAAATGTAATGGAACATTATTTGAATAAGCTTGTTCACCAATCCATAATTGCTTTGGGTGAATGAAATATGATTCAGATATCCATGGGCCAAGTATACCCCTTATCAAACTTTGTCTTTTGAACATAGAATAAGGCAATATAGTAGAATGATAGATGATACAGCATTTGATATAGATATTGTGTTGGGTTGTTGTTGTTGTGTTGATGTTTACATAGATATTGTGTTGGGTTGTTGTTGTTGTGTTGATGTTTACATCTGCTTCCAACTGTTAAGTTGGTGTCGCCGACATGGATGCCATATTTTAAAGCCATTTATAAAGCTAATTATCATACTCAATGTAGTGGAGAAATTTGTTTTACTACTTTTCCTGATGGTAATATATACCCAAGCAAACTGTTGATGGTCGTCCTTGGTCACAGTGGAAGACACCACAAGGGAAGACACCACTGTAGTCTATAGTGAACTTGTCGGTTATCTCTACCACAAGGGATGATATATGTCGGTTATCTCTACCAAAGGGAAGACACCCGGAACAAGGGTGGGAAAGAAGTAGCCTTTAAAGACACCTCGGCTGTTTGTCAGTTATCTCTACCACAAGGGAAGACACCCGTTGGCTAAGTCAACTTGTCAGTTATCTCTACCACAAGGGATGACACCCGCTGTAAGGTTTCTACCACAAGGCACCCGCTGTAGGGGATCTCTACCACAAGGGAAAGTTTGGCCTGTTACACTCTACCACAAGGGAAGACACCCGCTGTAGTCAACTTGTCGGTTATCTCTATCACAAGAGTTAACTTGTCGGTTATCTCTACCACAAGGGAAGACACCTCACTGTATTCAAGGGTGGGGAAAGTTTGGCCTAGGACAAAGCTTTGCAGAGTTTTTACCCAGGGAACATTAAGCCTAGGGGAGGAAAGTTTGTCCTAGGCTAAAGTTTCCCTGGGGAAGGTTTGGCAAGGGGAAAAGTTTGGCCTGTTACACCGGGTCTTCAGAGTTATTAGTGAACATTTTAACCACTAGGTTACCCCACCACCCCTTAAACTACCACTATAAAGGTAGCTGAGGCCACACCTTTTCTCTTTTGGTTGACAGATTGTTGTTAACTTAGTAACAAAGCTAGGTTGAAATAAATAAATCAAAAAACCAAATCCATAAACAGTTGTGAGATAACATGAGGAATAGTTACCAGCCAGCCAAGTATAAACTAACTATGCGATGACCTCTGGGTACTGAGGAACCAAAGGTCAGTTGGGACACAGACATGTTATGTAATTATTCAAAAGAATTAATTTCCAATCATACTGAAAATAATTTTGACTGTTTAAGAATAACTGTAGAAAGTTATCAATGACACATGTACATATTCTGGGAAGATGTTTTTTTCTTTCCAGGAGCTGGAAACTATATCCCAAATAAAAACTATCTATAACCCTTTGTATTTTCATTTAAGATTGTGGCTTATGTTCTTTGTGGTTTAATGTTTTAACACAGAAATGTGTCATCTGGGTCATATACATTTGTACCTGGTCCGGCATATATAAGAATTGGTCCCAGAGAGTCGCACTTTGTCACCATATATACTTGTTCAATCTAATATATCATTTCCTCATAAGAAAAACCTTGGAAAGTCCTCCAGCTGTTATACCTACATACCTTTAGTCAATTTAAAAAAATTTTTAGTAAAAATTTAAAAAATAATGAACTTAAAATCTTAGTTAAGTAACGTATTGTATATCTGAAGAACAATTCTTGTTTGGGTAACATTTACTTTCAAAGTTTTAACATTGAAATCCAACACTGGATAACTTTATATGAGTCTGTCTGTACTATGGGATACAGCAAGTCTTTCTGTTCTAGCAGTACTGAAGAATGTGTCCATCACACCTAAATAGACTTATGGCTAGGGGATATATTTGGGATTCTGACATGAGCATGTGATAAGGAACTACTATCTAACAGTGATGACAGCAGGTGACAGAAACACATGCAAAGTCAAGTCAATACTTCACCTGATATAACACAGGAACAGATGGTACAAGAAAAACGGGGAAAACTTTGTCAATGATGTGTCAAATTTGGAAATGTTCAGAGCCAGAAACTTTTTGACAGAAAAAAATTCTCTTTAGCTGCTTACTTATTTTCAGTGATAAAGTAACCAGATTTCTTTCCCTCTCTATTTTCAGCAGACAGAAACTAATTCACACATGTCAGTATTGAGCGGTATATTTAAGTAAAGAATATCTGTTCCATTTCAATACTGACATACACAGAACTAACATCACATCAGAAGCTAAACTTATTGATCACCTTCCAAATATTCATACTTACTATCATCTAGAAATTTGTAATGTCCCATAAATCCTTTTGCTGTTTTCGTATAGTCTGACACAAATATAATCTCCATGGTGGACTGAGCTGAGGTGATGGGCTCAGGGAGTTTGGAACCACAGTACCGGTCTACGAGAGACATGTATCCCATTTCATCAACGTTGAACACATCGATGTAGTCAAACCGGCATCTGAAACAGAAATAGTTTACAAAATGTGGTATCTGGAGAAAATTAAGAAGCCACTTGAAACTTTAAAAAAAATCACATGAATTTGATACCAGTTTCAGAATCGAATTCCACCCAATTGCTTGTGTATGTCATAGCCTGGGCTGTGGTCATGTTTCTTGTCAGATCAGATGACAGTAATTACAGATTAACACTCATAGTCTTGCTGTATCAATATTGCCATCTTGTTTGTTTTCTGTTTAACTCTGGAAAATATTTTATACTAATTAAAGATGTCAAATAACATCTGTTTGAAAGAGGTGATTTGTACTCATAGAAATTACTTCTTTCACAATTATCGACCGAAGGCATTTGGAAATAATGATACAATCATTGGTAACAAAATGCAGAGATACAATTTATACAATATTGACAAACTTTATGGATAATCTTGTTATCCATAAAGTTTGTCAATATTGTTCTTCCGAACTTCTAAAATGCCACTCAAAGAAGTTACAATTTATATAATATCCAAAGTGCCAGTGGCAAAAAAGTAGAAGGAAAATCTGGTACATTTCAAATTTCAGTTATATCAGAGGCCTGAAGGCAGGGGAGGAACATACATTACGGAAGTTGATACTATAAGCTTCCTGCCAGACAAAGACGACATGAGCCTGAAGTTTGGTTCGAAATTAAGTTAGTCAGTAAAAAATTTATACATAAAATTGCTCCACATAAAAAATCGTATTTTTTATGTTGTGATTTCTGTAAACATGCATATTAAGTCATGTTTCCAGATCAAATATAAACCTGGGATTTGGAACAATAGCTACTGGCAAATTTGTGTTTATTCCATCCAGTATAAAGTTCATTTTTGTTGAAATATACAAAATATATTTTGTATTCCAACTAAACTACCATCCAAAAGAAAGTATACCACTAGTTTCGAAAGCCAATTAAAAGACAACAAAAACGATTTCAACAAAATATGTTTTATATTTCATTAGAGTATTCATTCCTGCATTATTTAAACATAAACACAGATCAGAAATAACAATGATAAAGAAATGAAAAGGATACAAACACATGGGGGGTCCAAACATGGATCATAACAAGAAAACTGAACAAACAGAAAGTTTGTCAAAATGCCAGGTACACAATTTAGAGCCATGTACTGCCTCAGTAGCGAGTATGTCCTCCTTGAGCACTGACACAAGCAACAATACATCCGTGCACAGATGATGTCAAACGTCTAATGACGTTGCATGGAATCTATTGCCAGGTGTCATTCAGGAACTGTTCCAGCTGTCGCATGTTGAGCTAAACGTTCTCTAATACGTCTGTAGACACGTTGACAGCCATCAGTTGTGAATATGCAGAACCTGCTCTCATCCGAAAAGAGGACACGTGACCAGTCTCACACTTGCCAACGTCGAAGTTGTCTTGCCCAGCGGAGCCTGTTACGCCGGTGTTGTTGTGCCAATGGCATGGATGTCGTGCTCGAATATCATGTTCACACAGTCGTCGTGATACTGTCTGTCGACATATACGATGTCCGAGTGCCGCTGTTGCCGTTGCTGTTGCCTGGATGAAGCGGTTCCTGAGGTGGATTACCCGGATGTAGAGGTCCTCCTGGGGCGTGGTCACCTGCGGTCTCCCACTTCTCGGCCTGTCTACAGTCTGCCCTGTCTGGCGGAGACGCTGAAACAACCTGGTGATGCATACCCGGGTGCAGCCAAGGTTCTCACGATGAGGGCATGTGACCCTCCTTGTTGGGCCATTCCTACATCTCTCTCTGTGTACTGTGGTCAGGCGTGGCATTTTTCTTGTGTGCTTTTTTATTCTGTGACGATGCCTTGTGTCATGAGCTGCTTTTATATGTTTTTTATGCACGTGCATTTTGTGAAGCACGTGCATGTTACTTTTTCAGAAAATGAGCGTTTGAGCAAGACAATTCGCGAGACGAGAAATTTGTCATTACACATAAGTTGCCATTACCTTGTCACATGTTTCTGTAAAATTTCCTGGATCTAGGTTCAAAATTAAGATTTTAAATGGCAAAAATATTTGGTATACTTTCTTTTGGATGGTAGTATATATAGCACCAGTCATTTAAATAATCAAGTCTGGACCAGACGATCCAGAGATAAACATCATAAGCATTGATCTATGGAAATAGGATACTATGACTGCATTACACAAGTCAGTGAGTCTGACCATCCGTCTCCGATTCCAACAAGCCTGAAGATCATTTCTATCCCAGGTCAATCATCATTGCAATATTTTACTTTCACAAAGTATTTAGAACAAGTCAAAATGTTAAAACACCATGCTGTACTGTGATGCATTTAATCAGATAAGCTGGTAAGATTCTACGTTTTGGGGCAAGAGTGATCAATATGTCTGTGTGAGATTGAGAGATGACACAACAATCACGCTTACAGACAAACCTATCAACATTTACCCATTACTGTGGTCCCTGATGATAAATATTAGAAGAAATTATATCCCAGTTTACGTTATACTGCGGCTGGAATCAGGGATTGTAAAAAGAACTGTGTGACTAGTAGTTCATTCAGGGGCTACTCAGTTTTAGGTCTTTTGATGCACAATAATTCTTCTTTGTTAAATTCGATATAAGATGCAAACTTTTGAAGAAAACATAACAGCTGTGCATATAATATATGAGCCAATGAATCTGGTATTGTGATCTTGAAACTGCATATCTGCAGTGAAGAAAGCTTTTAAAAGCTATTATAAAACAAAACTGTTCAAAATCTATGTCATATACACTGAAATTAACTTTGAGAAGTTTACTTAACATTGCGAATTATCTGATTGCTGTTATTTTTAGCAATGAGGATCCAAATATACCATTGAAAACAGTAGGGGATGTTCAATAAATAGATGTCATAGCTATTAATATGTGATATCTTTACTGAGACAGCTCGTACAGGTGTATAACAGGGACATCTGAATGACACTAGCATCAGCCGTTAAACATCACACGACCACAGGTCTTGTTAGACGATTCGCCAAAACACCATACTGTCCATCACGTAATTTATCATGTCTGACTGACTGAGTTTAGTTTTTAGCAATATTCCAGCAATATCACGGCGGGGGACACGAGAAATAGGCTTAACACATTGTGCCCATGTGGGGAATCGAACCTGGGTCTTCGGCGCGTGATGAGCCAACGCTTTAACCACTAGGCTACCCCAATTTACCATGTGTTTGCACAAAGTTCATTATGGTAGACATGTGGAGGCCATTACCAAATTTGCTGCATCAGTGATCAGAATGATGTCTAAAGTATTTCCCTGAAGTGACGTACCATTATTTTCATGTTGTAACTTGCCTTTGCATGTGTTTGTGATGGTATTATCTGGTATTATCACGATTTGAAAGTGATTCAAAGGAGATGGTTATGATATAGTGAGAATCACACAATGAGCGAGTGTGAGTGAGTTAGTTTTTAGCCACTTTTAGCAATGTTCCAGTAATATCACAGCGGGTGACATCAGAAATGGGCTTCTCACATTGTACCCATGTGGGGAATCAAACCTGGGTCTTCGGCATGACGAGCGAACACTTTAACCACAAGGCTACCCCACCGCCCCCATACAATGAGCTCAGCTTTAAGCAGAGATTTCTTACAATAATGTCATGGTTTTGTCTCTTTAATTTACACATCAAGATTTCTTTGAACATAGAAAGGGAGTTGCCACTTTCACTTGATTGCCTTGACCTAAAAAAACACTGATAACATAATACTTGTGGAATCTCTGTCTACATATGTTCCTGCAGACTCACACATAGGACTTCCAAATTGAAATCAACTGGCGCTTCCTATCAGTTGGGATGAAATAGACCTGTGTTGAGAACATTGGAGTAGAAATCAATCTGCTGCAGTGTTGAGAGAAAATCAAATCATGCTATATATAGAGGAATATCATAGTTATAGGCTGGGAACACAATGGTGGAAATCACAATTTCAATATTCATCTGTTCCATTTTTAGTTTAAAATAGCATTAAAGAAGACAAAATTGTGAAAAATTATGATAAATGAAAAGTGAATGGTGGCCACAAACTGGGATATATTTGTAAGTGGAAAATATGTTTCTTTAAGAAATAGATAAACAGTGCCAAATTCTATGGTTTTGCACATTTCCAAGATTGATTTCTCAACATGCAACTTCTGAAACATTCTTCAATTGATTTGAGCCCCATTAAGTTCGACCATCAGAGGAGACAAATCACAGTTTACTGATACTTTCTGTAAGATATTCAAATATATTCAAATTTTTAAAGAAGTTCAAAAATATATATCAAACTCCAAAAGGTTCAGTAATTGGATATAATGTTTATGATCTAAATAATTCATGGATTAATTGTATTGTATATATCCTTTTGTATATATGTTTCTATCCCTGTACATATAGTTTGTTTCACTTCTGCATGTAAGCACTGTAAATAGGAGAGGGTTTCACTAAGTTGGCATAACTTGTACCCAATCCATTCTCTTGAATAAATATGTTTAAATCAAATCAAATTCTGTAAGATTGTTGACGACCAAACCAGGATACAGTCTATGCAAGATACACACCCTGAACTCTTTCTTATTGCTACCTGAATAATTTGTACAAAATATTGAACAGACATCTTTCAACAAAGTAGGCATATGGTTGTACGATTAAAAAGTTATCCAAATAATTCAGAAATATTCATATTTGGTTGTTTTCATTTTTAAAATCTCACAATAAAGAGTGAAGAAAATAATAATAAATAACTAAACATTGCTTTCACCGTGTACTCTCTTCTTTCCGAGATCACATATACATGTACCACTACAACCAGGAGTGAGTGAGTTTAGTTTTACGCCGCTTTTAGCAGTATTCCAGCAATATCACGGCGGGGGACACGCAAAATGGGCTTCACACATTGTGCCCATGTGGGGAATCGAACCCGGATCTTTGGCGTGACGAGCGAACGCTTTAACCACTAGGCTACCCCACAGCCCCTACAACCAGAATTACTGGTCTGCTGGTGTATTGTAGTACACTTGTCTAATGGTTTACACTGTAACATTATTCTATGATGAGGTACACTAGGTGAAAACATTATAACATATTGTTTGTATCTCTACTGAAAGTCTACACAGACGTTCAGTCTTGCATGATGTTTACGTTCAAAACAGACAAATGGTAAATATTCAGATGTGATATTTCAAGCAGGTTGTTATCTTCCTTGCATCCATGACTACAAAATGGTGACAACAGACTATATTCACTTTAATTTGTAGAAAACAGGATCTGCATGTACAATCAGTGTCAATCACTGTCAACGCTTCAGCTCCCAATATACCACAAAAGATATCACAATACTGATACCTCTTTCACAATATACTGCAACACAGTTCTTTACCAGCATATAAATCATCTTTGTGGAAAAGTGGATATCAAAAGTACTTATCCTGAAGGTTTCTATAGTAGGTTTGTCTCACACAGGGTCATTGTTTAGGTGGACATATGTGGAGGAGTATTTGGTTTTGTTTGCCTGACTGAATTTCAGTATTGATGAAGACATATGAATTTCAGTATTGATGAAGACATATGAATTTCAGTATTGATGAAGACACATGAATTTCAGTATTGATGAAGACATATGAATTTCAGCACCAGTCTGGGATAACCCTCAACTTGATTTTGGGGTTGATTTACACACTACAGCATGTGAGAAACCTTACATTTCTATTAAACAGGATCTATGTGGATCAATTTTCAATTTACAAGAATCTGCGGATTATTGTGATTAGATCTAGATTCCATGTCAGACATTCTGAGTAGAGTTCAGACCAGTAGATTACCTATATGACTACATGGAGAGGTCATGTAGCAAGCATTTCATTTTCATTGGTGAGGGCATACCCTTTGCTTTGCAGTTTGTTTTAAATGTTTAGGAGCTCAATTATTTTTTTCCAAAATAAACAGGTCCTAAGTTTAAAAAAAAATATATATCAAACTGAATTCTCTGGACAGGAGCTTGATTGCCAATTTAGAAACAATCCTGGTCCCAGCTCCTTCCCCCATCTGTCCTTCCCCCATCTGTCCCCCCTCCTGTCCATCCCATTCACCCTTCCAATTGTGAAAACTAAGAGAGACCCGTACATCCTTTATTCCAAGTACCATATCTCTTTTAAACAAATGTGAAGATACTTAAATCAATGAATTCATGTAAATATGTTTTGTATATCTCTGATGTGTCAGTAGCTCTGCTGATGTAACACAAATTCCTGAAAAGGCATTAAAGTATTATTCTATTCTATTCTATTCTATTCTATTCTATTCTATTCTATTCTATTCTATTCTATTCTATTCTATTCTATTCTATTCTATTCTATTCTATTCTATTCTATTCTATATGATGTCTGTCTAAAGTTATTTTCAAGATGCTTTACAAAACCCATGTAAATAACGTGCAAGGCAAATTATTGCTGTTAAATGATCCGAAGCACAACGTGGGCTACATACAACGGGGTGTTCCTCTTTTGCCAGTCGGGCAAGTTGTTTATTTAAGGAGTAAGAAGGAGTGACGGAGGAGATGACCAAGCCAAGAAAGACACAAGTGGACCATCATTTGTATTTATATGTTCAGCACATAACATACATTACTGTACACAATGTTTAGCATAATCTAACTGCGTAAATATAAGAAATTGATAACGTACTAATCACAATCGTACATTATCAATGTCCACAATGATAGTTTATACACAATTGTCTTTAAAGTACAAGATGAGAAACAGCATCTCCATACTCTATCATGGTCTTCTTTCCTGCTTGAACATGCATTGTCTTTTTGTCTCTGTAGTCTATCAATTCAATTCTTTATTAACCTTAAGTTTTACAACTTATCGGTGAAGGATGAGGACTATTTCTATGGATATACAACTTCTTTATTCTGTATAGGCGATGTTTCGACATAGATTCTCCTCATCCTTCATCTACCCAACTTCTAGAATGCCAATCAAAGAAGTCAACTTATCAGTGGTTATATAAAGCATAAATTGACACAGCATGAATTGATACAAGTGGACGGGATTGACAATTTGGGTGGAACATACAAAACAAAGTGAAACTCGTCTTCAATATCAGAATTACAATTGATACACTTTCTTTCGTTTACATTTATATTTTTATTTCTACCACACTCAATTGATAAATTATGGGCAGACAAGCAAAAATTTGATAAGTATTTTCTACAAATTAGTGGAATAGATTTTGTTAAATAATATTGCATAGTACAACAATCTATGATATGCTTAAAGATAATACATTTCCTTGAACTAGATATCTGTCCAACTGTACATTGAAAAGCTTGATCGTCAATTCTTTGTTTGATTACAGGTAGAAAGTTTGGGAGCAATTCTTGTTTGTACCATATTTCAGCAAAACCAATAGATGTCAAAACTGATTTAACCTGATAAGCCCAATTTTAGCCCTATCGTTAACAGCAATGTAATAACTGAACAAAAATCATTCCCTCTAATGGTGAAGGCCGTGTGGGATTAGTTAAACAAACAAACCTAGTCGACCATGCCTCATAATCCTCTTACTCTTTAAATGAACAACTTGCCCGACTGGCAAAAGAGGATACCTCCCATACAACTAGCATTACATGGCAAGTATGATGGGTGTATTAAACATAGATAAAATAATTTCATTGGCAGGATATCCAAGATTTTTCTGAATTTCTTCAGTCAGAACCAAGAGCCAGTCAAGTAACTTGAGCAACGAGGAGAGTTCTATGGATATACAACTTCTTAAATATAATATGAGTGACGTTTCGGTGTAGCTACTAACACCGTTATCAAGCAAATGATGACTCGTATACTTGATAACGGTGTTAGTAGCTACACTGAAACGTCGCTCATATTATATTTAAGAAGTTGTATATCAATAGAACTCTCCTCGTTCATCACACCAACTTTTAAGTGCCACTCAAACAAGTCATGTAACTTGAGTTTCAGATCTCTAAGTTTCAATCGCTTTATAGATTCTCTGCATGTATATAATTATTCCATATCAATATCGACTTGTGAAGCACTTCTTGGAAAAACAACGTGTGTGATGACTTCACATACAGCTCTGAAATACTGTGTCCCTGTCACGATCCTCACGTGTACAAAATAATATGGCTAAAACTAAATTTGAGACATTCAATCAAAAACACAAATGTACTCAATGTGCAAAATAAAAGTGGCAAAATACTTTGTCATGACTGTATGAAATCTCCACTAAAAGCAGAATCCACTGTGTGATTCTGATATTACCATAAGCATGTGCTATGAAACAGTATCGAAGAGGGATGATACAGGTGTTTCAGAAAGAGTTGACTGAATCTTGCATCCCCAGAGGCACATACACTGTATCTCTACTGTAAACATTCCTTTCTACTGAATTTTGTGTATATTTGAAGTACAGGATAGGGCTCAGAGATCAGGCATGTTTCAAGGGATTCACATTTCAAGGTATATTCACATGTCAAGGTATATTCACATGTCAAGGTAAATTCACATGTCAAAGTATATTCACATGTCAAGGTATATTCACATGTCAAGGTATATTCACATGTCAAAGGACATCAGTCAGCAAGGCAATAGAAACCTGATGCACACTGATAAACAGAAACCTACATACTTGTACTATACAACATAAAAAAATATAGAACTTACGATGTATCATCTTTTGCCATGTCTTCAAGGTCAAAGTAGTCAAACTCCAGCTGAATACGGCCATCTTGTGCAGCTTCAAACCTGTATTTACATTTGATGAGCTCAGGATACTCTTCTGGGAACTTTGGAGATGCAAATTTCCCTGACTGCGATTGCTTATAGGAGAAGGAGTATTCACACTTCTCGTTTTCTTCTCCTGTTGGAAAATAGTACAATATATGAGGTACATGTTTGAAACATTTGGGTTACAGATTTGTCGGTTTACTGTATATTACCGTACATAAGCCAATCTCATAGATAAACCGAGATCCTCACTTGACACTTAAAATCAGTATCAAAACCATCAACCTTCGCTCATCTTTCCGTCGTGATCAGTCATTGGAAATAGAGTCAACAAATCCATATTGAATTATGAAAGTTAATCCAGTTGTTACACGATCTCATAATAAAACATCTTTGCATATCTGGACTTATGTTTGCAATCTAATTTTTTAATTTTACTCAAAATGTCAATAAAGAATGTTTATATTAGCTGCAGTTAAACAGCGTGTCCTTCCAATATTCATAACTTTGGTCCACAATATTCACAGCAATCACTATCATATTGTGTCTACTCACACCTCAAGAAGTGTAGTTGGCAGAAAATGAATACTTAGACATGTTTAAAAAAGAAACTATAAACAAATTAAAACAGAATTGAAAAACAGTTTGACTTCACATATTCCAGATTAAACATTGGAGGAACAGTTATCTCTGTGATCCAGGATCCAGACCAGAAACACAGACATGATATACATGTTATCTCACCTAGAACAGCACGACTGAGATCTCCCATAATGTAGACTACATTCAGAAACACAGACATGATATACATGTTATCTCACCTAGAACAGCAAGACTAAGATCTCCCATAATGTAGACTACATTCAGAAACACAGACATGATATACATGTTATCTCACCTAGAACAGCAAGACTGAGAACTCCCATAATGTAGACTACATGCAGAAACACAGACATGATATACATGTTATCTCACCTAGAACAGCAAGACTGAGATCTCCCATAATGTAGACTACATGCAGAAACACAGACATGATATACATGTTATCTCACCTAGAACAGCAAGACTGAGAACTCCCATAATGTAGACTACATTCAGAAACACAGACATGATATACATGTTATCTCACCTAGAACAGAGATCATAATGTAGACTACATTCAGAAACACAGACATCATGTTATCTCATAATGTAAGACTCCCATAATGTAGACATTTCAGAAACACAGACATGATATACATGTTATCTCACCTAGAACAGCAAGACTGAGATCTCCCATAATGTAGACTACATTCAGAAACACAGACATGATATACATGTTATCTCACCTAGAACAGCAAGACTGAGATCTCCCATAATGTAGACTACATTCAGAAACACAGACATGATATACATGTTATCTCACCTAGAACAGCAAGACTGAGATCTCCCATAATGTAGACTACATGCAGAAACACAGACATGATATACATGTTATCTCACCTAGAACAGCAACAGACTGAGATCTCCCATAATGTAGACTACATTCAGAAACACAGACATGACATGATATACATGTTATCTCACCTAGAACAGCAAGACTGAGAACTCCCATAATGTAGACTACATTCAGAAACACAGACATGATATACATGTTATCTCACCTAGAACAGCACGACTGAGAACTCCCATAATGTAGACTACATTCAGAAGACACAGACATGATATACATGTTATCTCACCTAGAACAGCAAGACTGAGAACTCCCATAATGTAGACTACATTCAGAAACACAGACATGATATACATGTTATCTCACCTAGAACAGCAAGACTGAGATCTCCCATAATGTAGACTACATTCAGAAACACAGACATGATATACATGTTATCTCACCTAGAACAGCAAGACTGAGAACTCCCATAATGTAGACTACATTCAGAAACACAGACATGATATACATGTTATCTCACCTAGAACAGCAAGACTGAGAACTCCCCTATAATGTAGACTACATTCAGAAACACAGACATGATATACATGTTATCTCACCTAGAACAGCAAGACTGAGATCTCCCATAATGTAGACTACATTCAGAAACACAGACATGATATACATGTTATCTCACCTAGAACAGCACGACTGAGATCTCCCATAATGTAGACTACATTCAGAAACACAGACATGATATACATGTTATCTCACCTAGAACAGCAAGACTGAGAACTCCCATAATGTAGACTACATTCAGAAACACAGACATGATATACATGTTATCTCACCTAGAACAGCAAGACTGAGAACTCCCATAATGTAGACTACATTCAGAAACACAGACATGATATACATGTTATCTCACCTAGAACAGCAAGACTGAGAACTCCCATAATGTAGACTACATTCAGAAACACAGACATGATATACATGTTATCTCACCTAGAACAGCAAGACTGAGATCTCCCATAATGTAGACTACATTCAGAAACACAGACATGATATACATGTTATCTCACCTAGAACAGCAAGACTGAGAACTCCCATAATGTAGACTACATTCAGAAACACAGACATGATATACATGTTATCTCACCTAGAACAGCAAGACTGAGATCTCCCATAATGTAGACTACATTCAGAAACACAGACATGATATACATGTTATCTCACCTAGAACAGCAAGACTGAGAACTCCCATAATGTAGACTACATTCAGAAACACAGACATGATATACATGTTATCTCACCTAGAACAGCACAACTGAGAACTCCCATAATGTAGACTACATGCAGAAACACAGACATGATATACATGTTATCTCACCTAGAACAGCACGACTAGAGATACTCCCATAATGTAGACTACATTCAGAAACACAGACATGATATACATGTTATCTCACCTAGAACAGCAAGACTGAGAACTCCCATAATGTAGACTACATTCAGAAACACACCTAGACATGATATACATGTTATCTCACCTAGAACAGCAAGACTGAGAACTCCCATAATGTAGACTACATTCAGAAACACAGACATGATATACATGTTATCTCACCTAGAACAGCAAGACTGAGATCTCCCATAATGTAGACTACATTCAGAAACACAGAAACACAGACATGATATACATGTTATCTCACCTAGAACAGCAAGACTGAGAACTCCCATAATGTAGACTACATTCAGAAACACAGACATGATATACATGTTATCTCACCTAGAACAGCACGACTGAGATCTCCCATAATGTAGACTACATTCAGAAACACAGACATGATATACATGTTATCTCACCTAGAACAGCACAACTGAGATCTCCCATAATGTAGACTACATTCAGAAACACAGACATGATATACATGTTATCTCACCTAGAACAGCACGACTGAGATCTCCCATAATGTAGACTACATTCAGAAACACAGACATGATATACATGTTATCTCACCTAGAACAGCACGACTGAGAACTCCCATAATGTAGACTACATGCAGAAACACAGACATGATATACATGTTATCTCACCTAGAACAGCAAGACTGAGATCTCCCATAATGTAGACTACATTCAGAAACACAGACATGATATACATGTTATCTCACCTAGAACAGCAAGACTGAGAACTCCCATAATGTAGACTACATTCAGAAACACAGACATGATATACATGTTATCTCACCTAGAACAGCAAGACTGAGATCTCCCATAATGTAGACTACATGCAGAAACACAGACATGATATACATGTTATCTCACCTAGAACAGCACGACTGAGAACTCCCATAATGTAGACTACATGCAGAAACACAGACATGATATACATGTTATCTCACCTAGAACAGCACGACTGAGAACTCCCATAATGTAGACTACATTCAGAAACACAGACATGATATACATGTTATCTCACCTAGAACAGCAAGACTGAGAACTCCCATAATGTAGACTGCATCCAGGAGCACAGGCGGGATCATCCTGTTGGCATTACGTGGTTAAGGCCCATCATCACTCACCTGAAACACAAATGTTACAATTGACATATGCTTTCCTGTATAATCTGTACTTGAATATCCGACAACACACAATCTTCACAGTCCTACAGCCAAGAGCTAAATACCTGGCGCTGTCATCTAGCCATGGGCCATACCCAATCAGTTGCAGTGTCTGGTAATGATTTGTTGTGTATATATTTTGAAGGCTCTACAGTGTTCAGTCAATATCGTTACATATTGTTCCCTGCAAGGTGCTACTTGATCTGCCAGGAATTACGACTATGATTCCTGACAGTGATTCCATCACAAACGGCACCAGGTTCCGTCCACACCTGGCATATTGCAATCTGTTGTACGATCATGACTCACTTGTTACATGACTATTTTTAAATTTCATCACAGCATGTATTCATGTTTATTGAATCAATAAAAACACAAGCATAGATTTAATATGATCAGTTAGAAGTCAGGTACATAGATATTTTATGGCTCAGTTATTCTACTGCTGTCCTCTTTCACTGCCAGAAGCAGAATAAGCCTTTCATCTTTTGTCAATGTCATATTTGTATATACGCCTTAAAACAGACACAAACAATTATTGTTTACCCACAATGCATTTAAAATGTCATCTTTTATACACATTGCTTTTGAAAACCTGAGTGATGTATTCCTGACATTTGTGGAACGAACAATTTTTTGCAAAACAACTGACTGTTCAAGATGGGATGGTGATGCAGGTGGAACTGTTCATGGGAACGGGTTAGGTCTGTGTTCTCAAGATATGTGACATTCATTGATGGGGGCGGAGAAGTGGTCAATATGGAACAAGTTCATTTTGGATGTGCAACTTCTGAGGGAGTCCCCAGGCGCATTTGTTGTAACAAACAAATGTTGACTTGCAAAGGAGATAAAACCCTTCAAACACATTGAAAGTATTGATTAAGTTTGAATGCATATTCCATTTATCTATAACAACAGGATCAAAATCTTATTTGAAATTCTCCTCAAATCCACAATTCACAAAGCCTACTCTGCAAACAGGGCAATCAATACAACCAGATTCGAAACTCAGTCAAGATTCAGGCTCAAAATCAATCCAAGTTGGATTACATGTTTCAAGCAGTCAACACATACGATGAATGATATTCATGAATGTTAAGAACTCTTGCTCACAGCAGATGCTAGCACTAACCCTAGGAAACTGTGCAGTCAATCTTACGTCTATTTGAAATGTACAGCAGCTACTCTCCGATTCAAACTGTGTTGCCAGCAGGAGACAGAGGGATTGAACGGTTTTCTGTCCTTTAGGAATGAAGATGCCATTATCAGGATTGTGTGCTGCATTTCATGAAATAAATACATTGTTACATTAGTCTGTAGCCCTATCTAGCCAATGCTAAATACTGAGGGAATTCTCTACTGCAATATGTAGTCAATGCTAAATACTGAGGGAATTCTCTGTTGCAATATGTAGTCAATGCTAAATACTGAGGGAATTCTCTTTAGCCCTATCTAGTCAATGTGAAATACTAGGGATATTCTTTATAGTCCTACTTTAGTCGATGTGAAATACTGAATGTCGTCTCTATAGCCCTATCTAGTTAACATGAGTGAGTGTAGTATAGTTAAAGACGCTTCTAGCAATATTCCAGCAATATTACGGCAGGGGACAAGGGTAATGGGCTTCACACATTGTACCTATGTGGGGAATCGAGCCTAGTTCTTCGGCATGCCATGCAAACGCTTATACCACTAAGCTACACCACTGCCCCTAGTCAATTTGAAATGTGTATCTTTATATCACTATCTCTTCAGTGTGAAATAATAAAGGTATTCTCTGTAGCCCTGGATAGTCAATGTGAAATACTATGGGTATTCTTTATAGCTCAAGATCACAAGAAATATGGAAGGCACAACCTTTGCCATTTATGAGAACAGGTTCTACTACACCCAATTGAACTGATAAATTCAGCTAGAAGTTTTCAGCGAGTCTTCAGTGGAGACTGAGACATCTGGAACATGTGATTCCATGGTTTTGTGTACAATTCTGGTATTTTTTAAACACACATCCATCCAGTAATTGAAACTGACCTTGTTTTTCAATATTTAGTGGTGCCTCTTTTAACATGAGGACTTATGCTGAATGCGGGGAATGTGTGCCCGACTATTTTCAAGCACCTGACATTTGTTTCAGGACTGGGGGTAGTGTGTTTTAGCCTCCTGTACACAGAAATGGAACTGTCTAAGCTAGTACTTGTTTGGTTCTTTTTGATGATTTAAGGCCAGACTGTGCACATGTATACATGCAATAGCTCTACTATGTGTTTTTAGTTTTTTATAAAATACGAAGTTATTCTTGATATCTGTGGGAAAACACTTGGTTTTGTGCAACTAAAACACCAACGTTTTATGATCACATGAGGAGATAAAAGCATCGTCAGACAACAAAGCCAAATATATTCTACCATAGTGCTTCAGATGTAGGTCCATGTCGCTTAACTCCTTCATTCATCCACAATGTCTAGAGCCAAGATCTGGCATCTACTGTGTCTATGCCTAGTCTATAACAGAGTCTTCTGACCAAAACAGTTAGCTTTGGTTTTTGTATTTGCCTAGAATAACGTTTATGCTTCATTAAAACTACAGCAGTCAGAAATATAAACATTAGCTGAATTAACCAAATATTTTAAGGTGAGGTGAGGTGAAACTGGATTTAACGTCGTGCTTCAGAATATTTCGCTCATATGACGACGTGCATGCGTGTATGTGTATGTGAGGCTTCCAATACTAGCCCAGACTTAAGCTGGTTTTACAGTGCTAGCCCACTGAGATACCATGCCGCAGTGAAGCATGGATACCCCACTCAGACACATTATACTGACTCCGAGCTGACCAGTCTTTGTTGTACCCATTAATGCGGAGCGCCAGGCAGGGACCAACAAGTACCATATTTTAATGTCTTTTAGTATGACGCGGTCGGGGATCGAACCAGCGACCTTCCACTCTCCGGGCGGACACTCTAACCACTATACCACAGAGGCGGTCAAATATGTTAAGAAAAATACAATCAGAATCATAGAAAACCTATATCCTCAAGCACTGAGACATACCCATACACTCCAAACCTTAATACCAGTTAATGTAACTTATATGATTCATATTTGATTGGAGATGAGTTTCACTATTTATTTCAATGTAATTATTTTGCAGACATATGTAAATCATTGTTCCTGGCCGAACTTGTCAAATTTCTGTCAACTATTTTTCAAGTAAAGTATCTACCTTTAAAAAATGTATCCAAGTTCATTAAAATTGTTTGTGAACACTTTAATTGATGTATCATTTCGTCATCTTGTTGTACATTTTGTAGGTACTCCTTTGTTATACTCATGTACCACCAATGGTGGATAAACGAGTGATTATGATGTAAGAAATTCAAAATTATTCATTTGTCAGGGAATCCTTCTGTACAATATTGCATAAAATTGACACTGAAGAACTTTTGAGTATGCCTTATAGAATACAATTCATTCACGTGACGAAGGAGTGAGGATATACTCTGAAACGTGTTCCTCATAACAAAGGAGTTGACATCTATAAAACTATCTTCCTTCTGAGTAGGTTGTGTTCAGGTGTGTTGCATATCGACTAAGGCCAGACAACTTTTTAATTTAGTTTACAAATCCACTGACCAAATTAAAATGAAAACATATATTTCACCATATGAGGAATGATTAACAAATCACTGACAGTCGCCATCAATATAAATATATTACCCACAATACTATATTAAAAACCTACACATTTTTCCTGTCTAAAATTTGAATAAAAAGGAAAAACACATTGGAAATGGAATTTTAGGAAAATTACATGTTTTTACCATCCAGCCAGAATCTCCCCAAAGTCAGGTCTAAATTTTATACCCATGACAGTAAAGCTGTTAATGTTTAGAATACGATGATTTAAACTGCTAGTATTTTACTTAACTGTACATCATCTGGAAAGTTCAAATGGTTTGGATCTAAAACTTAACATCCTCATAAAATACTTTTCATCAGACATGAAAGTTTTGAACTGCTCCCTACTGAGATCTGTCTGCTCCTCCAAACTACCATCCTCACCAACAAACCAGCAGTCTTCATCATTCCAATGCACCACTTTATGCTGAGACATTTGTGCTACGGTCAAAAGTTTAACCTGAGGCCCCAGTGGGACTTCATAAAGAAATTAAGACCTGTGACCCTTAACTTCATATAAATACGGGGCAGTGGGGTAGCCTAGTGGTTAAAGTGTTTGCTTGTCATGCCGAAGGCCTGGGTTCAATTCTGACATGACACAATGCGTGAAGCCTATTTCTGGTGTCCCCTGTCGTGATATTGCTGGAATATTGCTAAAAGTGGCATAAAACCCAACTCACTCACTCACTCACTCACTCACTCATATAAACCTAGATAACCAAGTTTTCTTCACAACATTTTATTTGCAGAACATTCCATGGTTTACTAAACATGTGCAGGAAAACAAATCAATCCCCCCTTTTTTTAAATACAAGTTTGATGAATCATCATTTTCCAATTAAACCCTGAGATTTGATAGATACTCATTCCTTAGGAAACACACTTGTCATAAGTGTGATCAAGATAATATTTTGTACCTCATGGTTGACAAGCTGCTTTCTCAAACTTAATTACTTTCTATAAATCACCCCAATTGATCATGTTCAGTATTGGTAGGTGGACATAATGAAGTAACGATATCTCCATTTTGTCAGCTCCAGAGCTCACACCAAGGAAATGACAGCATCAAGATCCATAACCAGAGACATATACTTCCATAATGAGCGTGTGTTTGAGTACACCCAAACAATTGGCAATTAATACTCGTGCAATTAGGAACTAATTATCTTGCTGTGAGTCAAGCAACAGCCTCAGTCAATCAACTGACGTGACCTTTATTTTGTAATGAACACCTCAGATTAAAAATGTCCCCATCACATCATTACCAACTATTGGCATTTCCTG